ATCAATTAGATAGAACTTACCCGAGTTAGTTGGTTTTCTAGTATTTCCAACCAGTTTTGGTTTAGTAATATTTCAACCCGACCAAGTTAGGTCAGTTTTGGTTTGGCCATTTATAAATTAACCAAAACTGAACTAACTAACCATAGATATATTAATAAATTATTTTAAATATAATTTTTAATATGGGAAAGTGGAAAAACTCTCATGTTTCTTAGTCTAAAATATTTTATATCATAAATTTAATTTTTAATTTATTTCTTAATAATACCACTGTAATTTATTAAATTTAAATTTAATTTTTATATTTAAATATTTTGAACAAATAAACCAAACTGAAAATAGATCCAAACCGATACAACCCAAGTTGGAAGGTTTTCACTAATGGTTAGTAGATTTTGGGTAACAAACTCCCGACTTCACCAAGTCGATTTGATTGGCAAAACAACCTACAACCGAACTGAACCAATCCTTGAACGCTCCTAATTTCAATTAAATTAATAGTCTAATCTCTAATAAATAACAATAGTTTGATCTCCAATAACTATTGAAATTTTATAGTACAAATGCACAATTATTAAAAATAAATTTATAATGAAAATACAATAGATATCTAATAAAAATACAATAATTAAAAATATACAATAAATACTGGAAAAAATATTAAATTAGTTAATAAGTAGTGCAATCTCAAATAATAGCTTAATCTCTAATTAATATTAATCAATAATTGAAAAAAATACATAATTACTAAAAACAAATTTATAACAAAAATACAATAAATTAAATTTCAAAAGTTAAATAATAGTTGTTTAATCTCCAATGATTATTGACAATTTTCTATTAAATAACAAGACAATTAAATTTATAAATAATTATTGAAGATATATTTATCAATAAATACAATAAATAATTACTGAAAATACAATAAATATTAATTTTAATATATATAATTATATATTGAATATACATTTATTGTAAAATTATTACTAATGAATATTAATTTTTTTGAAAGTTATTTTTTTATAATTATTAATTGATATAAGCGAAATTAGTAATTTACAATATTATTTATTTATTTAAATAATATTTTTATTTAAAATTTTAAAATATTAACTATTTATCGACTTTAATAAGCGTAAAATTATAATTAGTACTATTATTACATAATTCATTATTAATTTTGTACAATATTAAATCATCATTCATATGAATATTATGAAATCTATTACAATTATTTTTCCATGTTTAAGAAATTTTTTTAAATTTATTACATAATTTTGTTATTTTAACTATTTAAAATTTGGTTATGTTAAATGTTTCGTTATTTAAATATTTAAATAATATGTAAAATATTTAAATTTTTCCATTATTTGAATTTTATTTATTTTAAAGTTATTACATAATATTAAATATTTCCATTCAAATGTAATCAGATCTGCTCCTCACACATGGCACTTCACATCGACCTCACAGGCACCCATTGTGCATTGACAATATCTCCCATACTTATGTGTTATTATTTACGGGAGATGTTCCCAATGCACGGTGGGATGTGCCTGTGAGGTCGTTGTGAAGCGCCCTGCGTGAGGAGCAGATCCCACCTCACTGTTTACACCATCCACGCCAAGGTTGGCAAGTTGCTGCAAGAATGTGTTCTTGGGCTTGTGAACAAAATCATTTGAAACCAAAATCCACTCCACATGGCATGGCCTTGTTAAGAAAACCAAAGGCTGCAAGGAACAATTTCTCTTGATAACTTTTTCTTTGAACACAAGATTAATGGCGACCTGAAGTTGTTGGTATATTTCAACAATGTAAAACCGTTAAGAAATGCTCATCTGTGATAAATGTAAAACTGTAGGCGAAAAACAAAACAAGGAGATGACTCTTTTAAGTCGATGATCATTGCATACGAAATTGAATTCATTTGGAGGCTGGAGGTTCAGTTTTTCTCTCACATCTTCTTGTCCACAGTAATACTTCTAGTACACTAACTGTGATAAGAACCATTGCAAGAATAAACCCATAGGCTATGCTCCAGCAATAATCCGCACTTCCATCTTGAATTCCCAGGGCAATATTCAGGGCTCCAAGGAATAAAATGAGCCTCCCAGCCACATGATGGTAGCACTTCCAGCATCTACGAAACTTGCTGTCCTTACTAGGGCGTAGAAAGAATGCCATTACCTGATACACCCAAGTGGAACATACATTTAGGTTAGAAATATAATATAATCTCTATAATCAAAGCCCAGATATACAAAGATGGGAATTTGGTTTTAATTTATAAAAGTATGTAATATTAACATGCATTTTCATTTGTATGCATCGACTCAAATGAAACAGATTACATCTAGAATCATTTTCCACTTGTGTGTCTGTGTTTGGAGTCTATTGAAAACATAGTTTCCTGTTTAATTCAATCTACAATTTTTTTTGAATGAATTTGTGAAATTGTTGGCCCATGTCTTTAATAGATATGCAGCACATATCAGTGCAGCAGAGGAAAATTATCTTCAGGAGTGTCATGGACACTTTGAATCAGTATATACTTAAACATGGAGGAGAAACCTGGCAAAATAGACTAGTTTAAAAGTTATTACAAAAGAAATAATAATAAAACATTGCATACTTTTAAAAGGGGAATTCAGCAGAGAAAATGGGGAACACGTACCCAAGACCAATTTGGAGGGGTGGCAGCACCGTGTAATTTTTGAGGATGCTTCCACAATCAGAAAGAATATACATAGCATGTATGCTACTGATTGATTGAAGGACCGGAGGTGGACTTGGTAAATTTGGAAGGAGAGGAGGAGGAAAGAAAGTGATCAAAGAATGATAGGGTGTCGGGCGTACCATCTTAATTAAAATGCTAAAAGACCAAAATTTTTGCCCAACGCCTGCGGACTACAAAAGTTGAAATGGCATGAAATGATGAATTCACTTCGTTATTATTTTTACTTCTAAGGAAAAACTTAATTTTTATAGCTTTATGTCCAGAATGGGATTTAGTTTAAATCTTCTTAAGAAGGTTAACATCTTTGGATAACAATTTGTTAATGGTATATGAAAATTGAAATAGAATCAATTTCATTTTTTTTTTGATAATTGATAGAATCAATTTCAATTTAAAACACCCCCTTATTTATAAACTAAATTTATATAGTGAATTCATCATGAATTCACTTTGTTATCATTTTTACTTCTAAGAACCTTAATTTATGTCTAGAATGGAATTTAGTTTAAATGTTCTTAAGGTTAACATCTTTGGATAACAATCTGCTATGAAAATTGAAATAGAATCAATTTCAATTTAAAACATCTATCAATTATTTTATTTTATTTTATTTTGCAAAAGAAAGGGCCATGAACCCCAGAAACTTGCATAACAGCTTCACCCATATGGACAGGGTTTTTCCAGGATACAAGAATAAATGTTAGGTAATGGAGAATTTGTGAACCTGAAGCATAGTAAGCAGAAGAAGAAATAATCCAATGCCTCTGTGTATTGGTATATCTACACGCATTTTTCCATGTAGTTGAATCCCAGACAAAACTCCAGAAAGTCCAATAATAAATCCCATTGACTGAATAAAGATATGAGCATAATACCAATTAGGATCCAGGTGTCTAAAATATCTTGCAGCAATTGCCCCAGCAGGAAGGAGCACACCCCATGCAATTATGCCCAGTGCTCCATGATTCTTTTTCATATCGTCAATGCTTATGGGAGCATTAGCCATGTAACCTTCAAGAAAACAGTTATATTTTTTACAGGCTTTTGGCTCAAACATAAACAAAACATACAAAATGACCTCCAGAAAAATAATAATCAGCGGATATCAAGTTACAACTAACATAATGGCAGTAGTGTTATAATATTAAGAAATGAAGTAAACCAGATTCATAAAATTTCCACTTGGTACAATGGTAAATTGTTGGGCTGGTAAGTGTGAAAACATGGGGTTGAGTAAACGGATACTTTGTGCAGGAGAAAAAACAAGTAGCCAAAGATTATGACCATATCCAGTCTACCCCAATGTTGTAAAACACAGATGCATGCCATGAGGCATAGTTCAGAATGTAAGAGGCGTAAGCCTCCCGAACACAAGGAGGGGGATGAGGACGAAGGGGAGAGGATCTTATTTTTCTTTGTTTTTAATAAAAAATCTTTTATATTAAGAAGAACTGAAAGACTTATTTCTAGTCCATATACTTGTTCTTATTTCAGAAACCAATGCAGAGGCTGTTTGATAACAGCAAAGCTTCAGAACTGAAAGACTTATTTCTTTGTCTTTTAGTTGTTAAAATAATTAAATAAATAAAACTTTTAAGGGTATTGTGATCTACCCAATTTCAGTTTCAGCCATCAAGGAGTCCATAACCCCCTTAGAAACTTACTAAAAGACAAAGCAATAAGTTTTTCAGTTCAGCATCTTCATCTTTTATCAAATGGCCCCTCAATCTCTACCTCCTTGCTTGGCCTTTCTTGTGAAAAAGTGTTGTGGGGTCCAATTCCACCCAAAATAAGGACTTTGCTTGGAGATTTTTCACTTGAAGAGCAATACCTCTGAGATAATCCTAAAGAAATGACGTAAGTGGTGTCTATCACCACATAAATGCCCTTGTGTAATGCAAATGGTGAAATTATTTATCATCTACTAATCTCTTATTCTCTCATATCTAGTATTTTGGAGGCTTTCTTCTCACTATTTGATTGCAAGGAAGTTGATTGAGGTGCAAAACCTTTTCTCAGAGTCATTCTTCTCTCCTATTAAGAGAAAGGAAAAGATCCAATGGAGATGTACAAGGGCAGCAAGCTTGTGAACAATATAGGAGGAAAGAAATGCTAGAGTCGTTGGAGGGCAAAAGAGGTTATATTCGACTGGTCATGATTAGAGTAATACATTGGGTGAAGACCTTGAACCTGCCCTTTCCAGCCAGTGACATGGCTAGGGGTGGAAGGTGGTGGCATCATCTTTGAACCTGCCCTCAACTAATGGTGGAGAAAGGGATCCATTGGACACCATTAAGATAGAACCAAATAACATTAAAACTTTGATGGATGTAGCAATGCCAACAATGAAAGAAGTCCTAGAGTTTACTGAAGAACCAAGGGTAGCAGAACATAGAGATGGCCATTCCTAAGATAGAGATTGAAGGAAGTAACTAGCTTTACCTTACAAGTTCAACTAGAACTAATTCAAGAATTACAACTTCGCATGGCACAAGTTCCACCAATGTCAACAATGGAAGAAGTCCTAGAGTTTGTTGAATACCCAAGGGTAGCACAATACAGAGATGGTAATTCCTAAGATAGAGATTGAAGGAAAAGTTCCAAATGTTGCAGTTGAGGTTTTGGCAGGTTGATGATTTAAGTGCTCAAGAAGTAGTTGTGGAAAGTCCAAGCATGTAGTTGTGGAAAGTCCTACTCCTTTTTCCATTGGGGCATACCAACTTTTCATCCTCAAGTTGTTCAAAACTCAAGGACAAGTTTTTTTGAACTAGGGGAGAATGATGCAGGAGCTCAAGAGTCAAACTTGGAATTTTGTGAAAATTCATGTATTTCTGGACACTAAGAATAATTTTGCCATTTTACAATTTTTCTATAGGGTCCAATAATAAGGTTTGATTGTCAATTTATAGTTTGTTTATGTTTAAAATTCCAGTCATTGCATAAGTAGGATTAGAATTTTTTTTTTGAGAGATTTTGTAAAACGTGGTTGTCAGATTGGGCTCGGCCCCTAAGGCAAATGAGTGGCTCATCGGAGCACCGACTCATTATCCTTCCACCAATGGGAGCAAGAGGTTGTCGCCGCTCTAAGTAGGATTAGAGTTATTGAGTCTTCTTTGAATTTGAAATAGGATATGACAGCTTAGTTTGAATCCTACTAGGATTATTGAGTCTAACAGTTTGACTCTTAGGACTATTATGAGTCTAATAGTTTGACCCCTAGGATTGTATGACTTTGGAATCTAAAAATATGTATGGACATTTACACAAAGAGCAATGAAGTTTATTGAGTTTTCTTTAGCTTATGATAATTATGGTGAGTGATTCCCATACCCTAGAGTGATTCTAGGTTTCTAGGTGCCTCATGAATGATTCTAGGTATTTTCTCTCTTCTTTCTATCCCTATTTTCTTTCTTGTACCTTCAAGAATCCATTACAACCACCAACAGCCATAAATTTCTGATCAAAGAAGACCATTCAACATTCTCTAAGGACTAGAACTGAGCTGCTCTTACATCATGTACAAAGAAAAAAAGAAGCAACAAAAAAAGATAATAGTCCTTTTAAGTACTATAATTGCACTCCACTCGGTCCAATAGGTTTTGCAAACTTAGTTTGGGCAAAGCTATTGTGTTTCAAGATGAGATTTGGGAAAGCTGAAAACAAAGATGAGATTGTGGAAGGAGATTCAAAAATCACTATATAATGGTCATGTAAATGAAGGATCTGGTACTTGGCAATACAGATTCATATTTAGAGAGGTAAGAACTAAGAAGCCTTATGGAGTTAGATCATCAGCCTAACAATAACAGGTAAAGAGGTCAGAAAATGGTTAGCAGTTGTGATGCCTAGACAAGTGGGTTGCTAGAATCACAGAAACCAGTTGCTTGGGGACAGATAAGGGGCACGGGCAGCCACAAATGGACAACATAATGTAAAAAAGAATGTGGGAAGGTCAGGGGTGTTGTTTTTTTCTTGTATAAGGGTGTGTAGAGGGTGCAGAATTTGACTGAGGTAATTTCTTTTTTACAAACAGCTAACTTCACTCTTCAAGCACAACAGGATTACATGGATAATGCTTAACAAAGTTAACTATCTAAGAGTTCTACTCCACTTTTTTTTTCCAGATGTTAAGCTACACACATCCAAGTATTCATCACAGATGAGCAAATTTTCAAGTGTCCCAGGATGTAGTAAAAAGGTTTCCTTTTTCATTTTCAAAGATTGGCATGCTTACAGCACTTCAAATATGTAATTATAATCAAGGATCAAAATTTCGCAACGTATTGGCCCATATCAGCCAATGCATATTGTATCGGTGATCCAATGATATGCTATTATATGGACTGTTTTGGGGTTTGGCCTGTTTCAGGGGGTAAACAGGCCTTATATTTATATATATAACATGCTAACTAACTCTCTAACACTACTAACATGCTAACAACAACATAAATAACATGCTAACTAACTCTACACTCCCCCTCAAGTTGGGAGTAGATATTAATCATTCCCAACTTGCGTACATTTGTTTCCAACTTGGTCTTTGGCACTGCCTTAGTGAAGAGATCGACAAGCTGCATGTCAGAGGCAATATATGGAAGACACACTTTTTGAGAAGCAACTCTTTCTGATAAAGTGTCAATCCACTTCAATATGCTTAGTTATGTCATGTTGAACTGGATAATGGGCGATGTTAATAGCAGCCTGATTATCACAATATAGCATCAGGGGCCTCTCATAAGTAATGCTAGTTCTTCAAAAAGGAATTTCAACCATAATACTTCAACCACACCATTCGCCATTGCCCTATATTCAGCTTCAGCACTAGAACAAGCAACAACATTTTGCTTCTTGATTCTCCAAGAGACAAGATTTCCTCTTACAAAAGCACAATACCTAGAGGTGAATCTCCTATCATCAACACACCCAGCCCAATTAGCATATGTGTAGACTTTTATTTTCATGTGACCATTATCTTTGAAGAGTATTCCCCTGCCTAGACATCTCTTTAGATAAGCAAGGATCTTCTCAACTACAAGAGGATGAGTGGTTCTGGGGGAATGCATATACTGGCTAACAACACTAACTGCATAAGAAATGTTCGCTTGTGTGAGGCAAAGATAAAGGAGTTTCCAACCAATCGTTGAAACATAACCTTGTCTTCAAGGGGCTCTCCCCCATCTACACTTGTCTTATGATTTTGTTCAATAGGTGTGTCAGCAGGTTTAACACCTAGTTTTCCAGCTTCTTGCAAAAGGTTGAGAACATACTTTCTTTGGGAAACAAAAATCCCATGTTTAGACTGTGCTACCTCAATGCCCAAGAAATCCCATCTTTGACCTCAAATTCTTGGTGAAGCAAATGCTTAAGAGAGTCAATCTCATAGGTATCACTCCTATCACCACAATATCATCCACATATGCAGCAAGTAGGGTTAAGGAGAAATCCTTTCTCTTAATGAAAAGGGTGTGATCTAATTGAGCTTGAACATAGCCAAACTTTTCAAGGGCTTGTCTAAATCTGTCAAACCATGCTCTTGGAAACTGTTTCAGTCCATATAAGGCTTTATTCAGCCGGCAGACCTTCTCCCCTGCTTCTATACTGTAGAATCTAGGAGGTAACTCCATATACACCTCCTCTTGCAAATCACCATTGAGGAAGGCATTTTTGACATCCATCTAAAACAATGTCCATGAGAAATTTGCTGCAAGGGATAGTAAAACTCTGATGGTATTCATTTTGGCCACTAGTACAAAAGTCTCCAAATAGTCTATGCCATTAGCATTATGTTTCACTGTAAACACCCATTTGCACCCAATCGGTTTTCTTTTTTCCTTCAGGTTGCTCAACTAACTCCCATGTATTGTTCTTTACAAGAACATTCATCTCTACCTGCATTGCATTTCACTGTAAACACCCATTTGCACCCAATCGGTTTTCTTTTTTCCTTCAGGTTGCTCAACTAACTCCCATGTATTGTTCTTTACAAGAGCATTCATCTCTACCTGCATTGC